CCTAAATCTGAAGATTTGAGGAGATCATGTGTTCTATTTTTATTACACATGGCGTAATTTGTTTATTTACTAAATCCTCATTTATCTCAAAAACTAATATTATGCCGTTTCCCCCTTTCTATTGCAAAGGCCCCATATGATCGATCTTTAGTCACGAGAAGAACTATCAACGCTTTGCTTTTGTTATTATTGATAGGTTTGAAATTACCAATCAAATGAGATTAGAATGCCCAGTTTACAAGCTTCAAGATACAAAAACAATCCATCCTATAAGCGATAATGATACGAATAATACTGCACATTTTGTTTATTGTTGTATAGATAATAAATGCATCGATGGTAGATACGAATTTAGGAACAATTTGTATATAAAAAACATGTATTTCTTCAATGCTGTATAATACTGTATAATAGTCGTTGTGACTTTATTATATAATATTAGTTAATCTTTACTATCATAAACTTAAAGTATACTGTACATTAGCTAAAGTCGCAACAGTTTCTATAATATGTCGCAACAATTTCAAATTGATCGTTTACGATCTCCTTAAGGCGTAGTAACTGCATTTAGACTAATTACATTTACATATTAACTATCTTCGTACTAGATCGTAACAAATTTATAGCTAAATACTGTACTACTACGTTGCTACTAAATTTAAATTTCAGTGAACATGATGCTTCATATTTGGTGAAATTATGATGATTGCAATTTTGACATCAATTGGATTATTGTCATTAGACATGATTAAAAAGTATTTTTACTTAATTAAAATGTCTCAATTTAACAATCCTATATATGAAAGAATAATTACACAAAATTTTATTAATATGTACGTGCGTACATGGTACAGATTTTCTTCATTAACTACATTTTGCCACAAAAATTCTAATAGGAAACTTGTTATAAATTTCCTTTATTTCCTAGTAAAATTATTCAGTACAAAGATTAATATAGTTAGTATAATTAATGAAAGAGTGCCCTTTCTATTGCAAAGACCCATATTTGAAATTAAGCATTAATATGCAAAATTATACGTTAAATCACCCAGAAGGTATAAGTAAAATCATGTGCTAATGGATCAGAAATTATGATTAGTATAAACAATTTCTGTGAATACCTAAATAAAAAATTCGGGCAGGGAAAAAAAATTTTTGATGATGCAAATAATCGTTTAAAAAAAAGTAGCTCCTTTCGTTATTAAATATAACAACTTTTTTTGATTTTTTATTTCTGAAAAAATTTTCCCAAGAAATTTCTTTAATGGTAAGGATTTTCATTGGTTTTTCATAAATAAAATACTTTACTAAAACGTTGATCCTAAATAATACAAAGGTTACTTTTTAATGTAATTTTTTTTTACTTATAAAATTTTATTGACTATAATTAATAACTAAATTGCTTTAAAATTAATGGAAAAAACCATTAAATGGATAAAGAAAAGAATTTATTATAAAGATTTGAAAAATCGTGACGAAAAGATAATTTTTTTTTTACAAATAAATTTTAAACTCGTTTAAATAGTAATGATAATAAATATATAAGAAGTACAAAAAATTAATTTAAAAAAGATAGAAACGATCGACACTTAAACTTAACGACGCAGCAATTTCTGTTAATTTTTAGAAAAGAGACAACAATGAAAAAAATTTGAGGATGACTTATAAGCTTACCTTTTATGCTTAGTAAATAGAATTTTTGAAATAGGTTTTTTAACAACAATTTATCAAATTATATTGTTGCCATGCCAAATCAACCAGTTGTTGAATTAATAATTTCATTTAATAATCTTTTTAAATATAAGTTAGATTTTACTCCATTGATTGAATCCATTTTTGGTTTAGATTTAAAAATATTTTTACGCCCAATTTGATTAATTAAAGAACTTTTTATGCACAACATAATATCCATTTAATAATAAAGTATCACAATTTACTTCTTTTGTGCTAAAAATTTTATCATTCAAAATTATTAATTGTAACATTTTGTGTAAGGTTGAAATTTTACAGTTTTTTGTAAACGACCTCTAAATGGTGAAGATAATCTACAATATTTTTTTACTAAAGCAATAGAATGACGAGCCCATCTGAAAAGAGCCATACTAGCAATTCCCAGAAGTTGCTAAATTGGAATATTTGGGATCAATGTTTCTCACTCGCTTAATACTTTGCAGAAACCCGTGATTTGTTAACATGCGGTTAAGTGATCGCCAACAAATCACAGCAATTAAGTATCAAACATGTGATGACGTGGTATCGGACGATCATGTAAAATTATCGGAGACATATTGGTGCAAAGTCGTAGCATATTAAAAGAATAGTCTTAAATGAGCGGTAAATAGCATCACAAGTTAGCCGAAAAAATCAATTCAAGATATTTTTTCAGTATATTAGATATGATTTAACAATAAACCTACCGCATTCTTAAGTTGTAGTTTTTTTTGGTTTTTTTTTGTTAGTAATAAAATTTTCATCGTAGTAAAATTACAATAAAAATTTCCATTGTATTAATAATAAAATAGATCTTATATTATTGAATGCAAATTTTTACTAACTAATATTAATTTTAATAGTGTTTATTTTATTAGAGTTTAGCGTATAATTGCATGGTTAAATCAAATATATCAAATACGAAAGTACCCTTAATTGTTGTTGTAATTCGTACAAGCTGATGCGTTCAAATTGTACAATTTTTACATATTTTTTACCAGCTACAAATTAAAAAAGAGAGGGTTAGAAAAATTGGGAAAAAACCTTTTAAAAATAACATAATGTTAAAATATAATGTTTATTTACCCAAAAGTACATTTCTAATTCTTCGGAAGATAGTTTCCAAAGTTTCAATGGCATCATCCCCAAGGTTGACTTTCATCATTCATAATATCTATAAAAGCAATTATTTGTGCACAGTGCACGTGATGTTAGGAAGGATTCATTATTGGATACCACAGAAAATGCACGTTAGTCTTAAATTTCCAATTATGGTTTACTATGAGAATTTTGTTTTGTGGCAAAGGCTAATGAACAAGTTTGAATATATATATGGACTTACCGGTCCGTTGATAAAAATGCTATTATGAAAAATTAGTAAAATACAATAGAAACGCCTCCATTGTTTAAACTGCTACTTTGAACGTTTTTTTCAAATATTCTATTAAATTTTATCAGATTTGATTGAATTATTTGGGATCACTTTCATTCATGGTAAAATTTCTAATTAATACACAATATAAACTGTCTGCATGGTACAAATATTATAATAAACAAATATCACTATATTAGAGAAGGCCGCCATTTTTCTTACTTGGACCATGGTACGAGAAATTAATGAAACAATAAAATGATGATTTTGGGAAATATTAGAAGTTTGTAAAACCGGAATTCTCTTCTTTTGAAATAGAAAGTCCTGTGCAACGTTAATTGAGACGTAAAATTACTATAAAAGATGGATGTTTAGGTGTTTGTTAAATATTAATGTAATAAAAACGCATAATATAACGAAAATAAACTGATAAATTAAAATTAATAAATAGAATACCTAATGTTTCACAATTGCAAATTGCTGGCAAAGTTTTTGCCATTTCTAGATGGCACTGCTATATCTTTTGTCATTTTATCCAAAGTTTTCGTTCTATTGGCGTCTCTTGAATTATAATTTATGAGAAATGCCTTTCGAACGAATTTTTGTAAAGTATGTAAAGAGCCTTGGGCTCTTAATTCAGTCATGTTCATCGCGTTTAACCATCTTTGTAAGGTGTTTATCGTTAAATCTTCATCGATGAACATAATTATGTCACTTTCTAAAATTCGAATTGTATGTGTATTTTCTCTGTAAATAAAATAAACAAATTAGTAAAATAACCAATATACTTGAAGTAAATAAAGTAAATGAATGATCTGTATTGTACCTAACTCTTTGTTCTTTGAATGCATCAATTAATTCATCAACACTGTCAAGAAATTTATTTCGGAAATCACTGAAATTTCTATTTGCTGCACGTAGCCAATCTATTCCTTCACCTGAATTGAGGTCACAATTAAAGATTTGCTGAACTAAATCTTCAAAAACGTTCTTATTAGGATTTCGGGCCTGAAGAAATAGGCATTTTAGTTCTTCAAGAAAATTCCAATTTGTTTTCGCCTAAATTATACAAATTATTTAACAGTTATGATATTAGCAAAAAAACTAACGAAAACAAAATTATTATACTTACTTTATCTTCTTGTTTTGGCGTTTGTGATACACCAGTTGCTAACGTCAATGAATTAAAATTTGGCGAAGTAAAGTTGAATGTATTTGCAATTGGTGTTTGTATTGATAGATGCATATTATATGCAAGTAGTAAGATGCTCTGGTTTTCACATAGCTACGAACATATTTGGTGGATATTTGTCATATTACCAAATGCTACTGGAAGTGTGGGTTTATTAGATTCCAATGTTTGACGAAACATATTGGTTGTATTCGAACGGGACACATCATTATTATTGTCAAATCTTGTATTAGATCGAGATGTAGAACGATAATTTAAATGAAACACATCATCATTATCATTGAATCTCATATTTGCATTATTAGATCGTGTATCATTGAATTTTATATATATATCATATGTATCATTAAATTGAGATGTAGGATGAGGTGTAGATCGAGGTGTAGTATTATTCAAATGAGATTTGGATGTATCATTTGAACCATCCAATCTGGTATTACGAGTCCTATTAACATTCATATAAGATCCCATTGTCACATCCAATATGTTGTTATCAATTCTATTATTATTGTTTGTAATTAGCGCAAGAGGTTCGCGTCTGATATTTTTAACACTTTCATCACTAAATTGACTTCCATCTAAAGAAATGGAGAATCAAAAAAGTAAGGATGAAATTTAGCCATATTATATCAAAATATAAATTTAAGGCGAAAATTTACCTTCTGAAAGACCATCATCATCACTTAATTTTAAAAGTTTATTAATCGGATTTGGTTTAGCTGTTTCTTGAATATCTTCATTCAAAATATCATCGCCAGCAGGTTCTTGAATTGCATCAATATTGTCTACAGCATTTCGTTTACGTTTAGCAGTAGCTTTCGAAGCTGATGAAGTGGCCTTTAAAGCTGGTAAATCTTGTTGAATGTTATCAAGTTGATTTTTCTTCTTTCGACCTCTGGTGACCTTTGGAGCCAATGTCTGATCATCACCATCTGGATTTTTTTTCTTTTGACCTCTTTTGGCAGGAGTTTTTTGATTGGAACTGTTTTAGGTCCTTGATTTTCTTTTGGAGCTAAAAAAATGATTTTTTCTTTGTGAAATCTGATATATTTTTATAGTAATGGCTATAGTCTATTATACGTTTAGCTACCTGAAGGACCGTCAAATTCATCTTTGCCAACAGGATTACTTTGATTTTTTAATTGACTTCGGGTATTTTTTCTAGGCATAGTATCAAGAAATAAAGTCTTTGAATTCCAAAGAAAAAAATGAATAAGAAAAGACTTTTTAATGTTTAAAATTTAAATCTTGTATTTAAAAAGTGTTTAAATAAAATAAACTATTATTGTATTACCGTAATTGGCGAATGGCAAAGTAAATAGATAACTATACTTTTTTAGTAATAATATGCAATATAGACTATTAATAATTTATTAGACTTTATTTAGTAGAAAATTAACAATACAAATTATTTCTTAAATCTATCAAATTGTGACAATTGATTTCCATAAATGGTAATAATAGATTTAGACTCTTGATTAAACTTTAGACTATTGATTGAACTTTGACCTTTTGCTTCGTTTCTCTAAAAAAAACACTCTCTTTAAAGAAACCTTTTTTCGTTTTTTTATCAGAATATTTTAAGAAAATGTTTCGAGATCGATATGCTTCTGGTAAAAGTCAACATAGTTATATTAGACAACGAAACACCACATTTAATATATCTTCGACATGGAACACATGGAATGAGATAAATAGGAATGACTATACTATGGATGACTATAATGAAGACGGAGAAATGACGCTGACTATTAATTTAGAAAACGAAGAGGTAAATGAAGTCAATATGGATGGTTTTGAGAAATTCAAAAGTGATTATGAAAGTATGATGATGGAGTTTGATGAAAGTGATGAAGATGACAATGTAGAAGATGAAAATGACAGAGAAGAATAAATGGAGATAACAAAGATTCGGATAAAGAAGTAATCATCGATCAACCTCTCAATAATGAATAAATGCCGCATTTCTCTGGTGATTTCGCACCATATTTCAAAAATATTACTGAATCACTATTTTTCTGTTAGATGGAAAAACATCACATATGTAAGTAATATTATATTAATGATAATTATAACATAACTTTCTATTAATTCTTTACCAGCTACACAAGCATACGACGAATTAGTGGATATAATTCATCATCTGCAGTTCAGGAGCGAAGATGTTGTACCAAATAGCCGAAGATTTAGAAAGTATAGGCAAAGACTGCCTTTACTTCTAATAAAATCCCGCCGAATCAACATTTCTAGTAAGAAAACGCCGTCAACATCTAGAAACACTGGAGAAGCATATTATTTGTCCATTACGAACATCATTTGTAATATATTAAATAACCCTTCTATATTTAACATATTGTATTTTGGACCAGGCCAAGAGGTTGAAAAGAGTAAAGAACTTTGGCACAGTAATATTTGGAAAGAGTCTCCAAGATTAGGACAATCATCTATAATAGTCGCTCAAAATACATATCACACTGGAGATTTTGTAATATACCGAGAATCTAGAGAGTCAAAACGATTTGGATGTATATTAGTGATTGTGCAGCAAGATAACCAGTTGAAAGTCAAAATCCAACGTATTCTAACATACAAAGACTTACCAAAAAACTTCAAAAGTAACATCCACGAACAAAGATCACAAGATGAAGTTTGGTTCTTGGATCGAGAAACAGATAATGCAATCGTGATTGTTGAATCACAAGCGATCGTTAAGCATGTATCAATCTCAATTTTATATAATGATGATATTAACAATCCTAATTCAATTAAAATCAGGGAAATTCTCTACAAGTATAATGGACGCTGGAGAATGAGAGATGTTAAATTTTCATACAAACATCCTTCAGAATTTGCTGCATTGAAGGATCCAATAACAGATCTTCCAGTATACAAGCTATTCATCGATCTGTACTATGATGATTTTGGCACGTTTCGAAATGTTTATCATTCGTTGGGCGGCATCTATATACAATTTGGGAACATGGTCCTTGAAGAAAGAAAGAAGCTCAAGAATCACTTCGTGCTTGGCTTCATCCCATTCGGTGGTTGCTTTGATGAGTTTATTGAACCTTTTATTTTAGAGATGAAAATGTTAGAGAAGGGAATAATTATGAATGTTCAAGGAAATTCATGCCTTGTAATAGCAAGTCTTAGTGATATCATTGCGGATTTACCCCAAGGGAATGATTTAGTTGGCGTAAAGAGGCATAGTGCTAATAAGGGGTGTCGAACGTGTAATACGACCAAGGACTTATTAACATCTGATGATCTTGATTTACAGTTAATCTCTCGATATCATCACCAAACAGATGAACAATTCGAAGAAATATCTAAGGCATCAACGGTTACAATGTGTAAAGCCATTGGAACTGAATATGAACCACATCTGAATCCACCAATACTCGATGAATTGAAAAGAGAGAGACATTTACAGTCTCCTCAAGATGTTTATCATATTACGGCTGGGAAAATACTGAGATTTCTCAAAATAACAATCGAAGCATTTACTCCAGAAGGAAAATCTGAATTCATAAAGGTCTGGAAATCCTTCGAATATCTGAAAGCTTGGCGAAAATTACCAAATCCAACATCGCATGTA